GCTGCAAGTTTAGCTACGGGGCAGGTTGTGGTTTTTTTTTTTTCCCTTCACAAAATAGGGGAAACAGAACTATCAGGTTCCTGAGAGACAGTCAAGGAGGGCTGAATAGGGAAAGGTTTTCCTATACAGATAAATGGCAACAATGACTCACTATACGTGAGACTGGGGAAACCCTTTTTCTACAAACCCATGCAAAATAAGAGGTAACATTTTCAGTTTGGGACACAACAGATGCATGTGTCTGCACAGGCAGGCAGTTACTGCACCTGAGGGCTGCATCCCAGAGCTGTACCTTTGCTTGCCCAGGGCCCTGATCCCTTCCACATGCAAATAACTGTTTGGGTGTGCAAACACTCAGAGCACCGGGCACACCTCTTACCCCTGCAGCTGATGGTTCAGTCTGGAAGTGAATAAAAGTGTGAGCCATGAGAGTCCTCAGGACTCACCATGAATGAATTATAGCCCCTCACCTGGTGTGTAATTTAATACAGGGATCCAGGTAAATTTTATTAATTTAATTCATGCATTTACTGATAAAATAGTCAAAAATACACCAAATGGGCTAGCTCAGAGCAACTGTTGAAACAAACTGTGAATTCACCCTTGCTTTATGTCTGTAGGTCGAGAGCAGATGCCTTTCTGGAGGACAGGCTTTTGCCAAACTCAAGTTACTGGTCTCAGCCCACGGGTAACTGGGATGGCCTAAGACACAGGCAGCCGGACTGGATCAAGAGGTACCTTCAACTCTGTGAAACTGTGAATGAATCCACTTGCTTGGAAACATCCTGGCCCATCATTATCTACTGTTTCATCTTCATCTATTTTTCCTTCAAGTCTATGCTAATTTGGCTTTGGTGTATTTGTTGTGATCCTGCAAAACCGCAGCCACACAAGTAGTCCTTATCCATGGATGTAATCTCACTGAACCTGACTGGAGTAAGGTTTTGCTATCTTATTTCTATTGCAAGAACTGTAGAAATCTTTTGTGCCAGGTGCTGAACAAACATAAAACAAAGACTCTTCCCTGTCTGCAAAGTGAATATCCACATGAAAAGAGACAACCAGTGGATACAGAGGGACAAATGCATGGACATGTGACAACATTGCTTTGAATTCCTCGTAGAGGAGTAGACATTATTCAACCAAAAAAGGGACAAATACTTTTTTAAAAGAATATCGCTTTTTTTTCTTCATAATGTGATCTACTGTCGGCAACTTGGCATTTACACCACACGTACCATATCAGCTTAACCATACTGATGAAAAAGAAATGCATTCATTTTTGGCAGTTTCGAGTGGCTAAAACAGGAAGTAACCATAGTATCCCATTGTAGAACTAAACAGAGAATGTCCCTCTACGTAAAGATTAACTCTACAGAATTAATAAATCCCTAATTCTCTCTAATCTCTGTCAGCGGGTTTAAAAACTCTCCAGAAAGGATAGGCTATTTTTTTCCAAATATCTGTGGAACCAGATTGGTCTCATTCGCATTAAATATTATACAACATTTCCATAAGCATCAGAGAGTTTGAAAGAGATTGAACACAATAAGGATACCCAGTAGGTTGTCTAGTCTACTTCCTGGACATCAAGAGCTGAAATAATGGTGAGCAGATTTTTAAAACAGTAATTTTGTATCTATGCAAGAGAGAGCAAAGCAACAAACAAATCCCATTGTTATGTCATCTCCTCGTGTTCAGGACTTGGCCCAGTAAATACTTTTGTATGCACTGAAGTTGATTTTCAGGAGTGTTCTTTCAAAGTTAATGGGACAACTACAGCTGTATAAAGTTAAGCTCTGCTTTATGCCCTTGTTGACATTCACATTTCCAGGGTTTAACCAAAGGTGTGGGGTTTTAATTGATTTAATTAATGCAAACCACCATGTAAACAGTCTTAAATTCATTTTAATCTGGCTTCTTTTGCTTCAGTTTAATCTAGTAAACAGAAACCAGGGTTAAATCAATTTAGAAGTCTCCACTGGAGTCTTGCACTGCTTCCGAGCAATCAGTTTAAAATCCCACTTTAGCAAAGCTGGTGTGAGAGCTGTTGTGTAGACAAGTGTTTGCAGATTCAGAGCCTGAGCTTCCGAGGTGATAGGCCACTCATAAATACCATGACTGTGTTTACTCTGTGTAGGATGCTGTAGACTAGAGGAGATGGGATGAACCAGGAGCTGGCTATTGTTTGATAAACTTCAATGACTTCCTTGTTTCTTCATGCCATTCTGTGAGCTGGGTGATTCAAATGAAGGTCATCACTCAGGGGCTGCTCAGCCTGCTCTGTATTGGCTATGGTATTTTTCTGTGGCAACCCCACCAAGGACAGGCTCCTGCCATCATTGCTCTCCCATGTTTGTACTGAGACTGTGAAGAAACTGTTGCACGTCACCCGGTGGGAGTAGGAGTTTTTCTCTGTTACTGATCAGACAAAAGCAAAACATTCAGAGTGAGGCCCATGCCTGGAATGCTGTAATAATGGGAGGGTGTTGTGACAGCCAGTAATGGGAGTCAGGATTTGGCCTTTCTTTGGGGTGAGCTGGTCTCAAGGATAATAAGCAGTGAGTCCCAGTGTTTTGCAGTGTGCAGGAAAAGTCGTCTTTTCTTTGGGAAAATGAATAGTGATTGTAGAAGCAAATCTGTCCTAATACCCTAACCGCTCTCCTAGGAAGGAAACACTGAGTGTGTCTCCACAAGACACATTACTGTGCATTAGACTACTCTAATGTGCAGTAAAGCATCACCTTCTACATGTGCGTATCAATAGCTGTGCATTAAATTAGTCTAATGCTTTGTTTGCTAGTACCAATATATACAGGTACTAGAAAAAAGAATGCATTATTAACTAACACTGCAATTTGCTCCTAGTGAGCTCAGGCAGCAGGGGCCCACTGGTGCCTGGCTAAGCCCCATCTCCTCTCCTCAGGGTGGGGAGGGTTGTCCTAGCTGCAGGGCAGCTGCCTCCCAGCCACATGGAGATCAGGACAGGTCTGGGAGGCTAGGAGGCAGCTGCCCCCACAGCTGGGACAGCTCTCTCCACCTTGTGGAGATCAGGACAGGTCCCATCTCCATGTGGCTGAGAGGCAGCTGCCCTGCAGTCAGGACAGCTCCCCCCATCTCATGATAGGTCAACCCCTATCACTGCACAGCTGGCAGGCAGCTGCCCCCACAGCTGGGACAGCCTCCCCGCCCCCCCACAGAGATCAGGACCAGCCCCCACTCCTCCTGCCAGCCTGGAGCTGGCACCTGGGGGAGCCTGAAGCTCCCCCTGGATGCTGCAAGGGGGCAGAGCAGGGCAGAAGCAGCCCTGGACTGAACTGCTCCTCTTGGGAGCAAATTTGTTCCCAACCAACACATGTTCAGATGCGTGTCAAGGGCACTTCAATTAACCTGAATTTTCTGTGCAGAAAATTCAGGCCCATTAATTGACAAGTCAGTGGAAGTTTTGCCATTAGCTCCAGTGGGACAGATTCAGGATAGCATGATGTGCCAGTGACAAGAAGACAAGTTCCCCAAACACTTTTAGCCTCCCCAAGGTGTCTAGGCTACTAGGTCAACAGCAGACTCACTCCTAAGACATCTCTGCCTGCAGTGGTCTAGCGCCCTGCTGAAATGGGAAATGCAGCATGATCAACACCTTGAATAAAGAGGGTCTGCTTGCATGGACATGGGGCATAAGGATACCCTGTGGCTGCAATTGCACAGAACACTTTGTAACCAAGATGCTGGAGAGGGGTTATATTGCTGTTGCTACAGGCTTCCTCCTGTAGTTCTTTCTGGTTTATTGTACACGGGTTAGCAGAATGTGAGAGGAAATAGGTGCTTACCACTGCTGTGAAATAATTAATCGAGGGGATGGATACAAATCCTGACAGTTTGTAGCCTGCTCTGTGTAGTTATTAGACCCCAGAAGGGGTCCAAAGACTGACCTAGTTGGGGCTTTTTTGATTATATTGCAGCTGTACACCCCATTTTCCTTGCTTAAGCCCAGACCCCCAAATCACTCTGCTGTTGAACTAGTAGCCTGGACATTGAATGGCAGCTGGATTGCTCCAGTTTCCTTCCTAGGAGAAGGGTTCGGGCATTAAGACAGATTTGCTTCTACACTCCCCATTCATTTTCACAAAGAAAAGACTTTTCCTCCACACTGCAAAACACTGGGACTTGCTCGTTGCTTATTATCCTTAAGATCAGCTGACCCCCAAGAAAGGCCAACTCTTGATTCCCATTAGTGGATGTCATAACACCCCCCCCAGCACCCCCCAAATTACCACTATGTTCAATGGGTAAAGGGGCAAAGTTAACAGCAAGAGCAGAACAAAAGCATCGCAGCTCTGGGGATAGGATGTGGAGAGAGCGAGGAGTGGATAAAGGAGAAAAGGCAAGTCTTTCCCCTTCCTGGGAGGGCCAGCTGCCCTTTCAGCCGTAATCCATGGCCCTGTCAGGCACTGATAACTCCCCTCTGATGCATAAGCTAAACCGAGAGCTGTTCAATACGTTTTATGAAAGAAGGTGAGGTGAAGGTGTCAGTCGGGCCACAGACAGCTGCTGAGGCGGAGGCAGGCAGAGGTACCAGCGGGTTGGGGGGGGCAGTGATAAAATGTGGGGGGAAGAGAGAGTTGAAGAAAAGGGTTTTCAAAAGCGTCCCTCCATCCCACGATGTTTCACAGCAGAGGTAGATGGCAAAGGCAGCTGGCCGTGCTGTTCCCGAGCAGGTATTTCAAAGCAGTGGCTAAGAAACCAGCCCGCTCCACCGGGCTGGGCGGCGCGGAGCGGACGCCTGCCCTTCTGCTCCGCCGGGCTGCGGATTTGCCCCTCTGCCGCTGCCGGGACAGCAGAGCGCGCCCGCAGGCGGCTACAAACACCCCGGAGGGAAAAAACAACCAGAGGAAAAGCCGCGAGGAAGGGGCGCGGCGCCGGGCAACCGCCCCCGCTCCCCCGGCTCCGCTGGACGCGCGTCCCCGCCCGGCCCGCTGCCCCAGGGCT